GAAACAAAATCCAAAAAATAAAAACCACCAAATAAGATGTACTATGTGGGTGGGGGTGAGGGAAGTAGGTATTCTCTCACAAAATTAAAAATCTTTTGTACTGGGAGCACCCTTTTCTGAGAAATGATTGCTAAGTACCTACCAATTTTCATCACATATCTTTAACTCTTCAGTTTCACAGCATACACTTTGCTATAGTTAGACCGTGACACACAAAACAGAGAACCACTACTTGCATTTTAATAGGATGTACAGATGCCTATTAACATCAATTAAAGTATTCCCCTAAAATGGGGCAGTACACAGCCATGGAACAAGGTAGATCTACATCCAAAAGATACCCATCTGTGTGTGATTCTCTTTGTACTTCATTCTGAACTGATGAATATTAGGAATAGAGGCCTGTTTATTAGTAGGTATGTGGTGGGCAGGACAGTTGTACTGAAATCACTTGGTTTTTGATTGTTTTAATATATTGGTACTGGAGAGCTGGCTCAATGATTAAGAGTACTTACTGCTCATGCAGAGGAAATGAGTTGGGCTCTAGCAGGGGACCCAGCATGCCATATGGTGGCCCACAACCATTTGTAACCCAGTGTGAGGGGATCCAACAAGCACAGACATGAAGGCATGCAAACCATTCATACAGTAAAGTAAATACATCTTTTTTGTTTTGCCTGCATGTATGTGAACCACATGTATGCCTGGTGCCCACTAAGGTCAGAAGAGGGTGTCTGATCTCTGGGACTGGATTTTGGATGGTTGTGAGCCACCATATGGGTACTGGAGGGAACTGGGTTCCAAGGCAAGGGCAGCGAGTGTTCTTAGCTGCTGAGCCCTCTCCAGCCCGTGACAGCTTGACTGTGGTGGTAGATAGAGATGACACCTGCTCAGGTTATATAACTATGCAGAACTGACTAAACACACATGAGGAAGCTGGATGAGATCAGAGACTATCAGCGCTAATTCCCTGGTTGTGGTACATTTTAGCTCTGCAAGCTGTTAACATGGAAGGCGGGCAAAGCAAAGTATTTCACTAAATTATTTCTTAAAGGTGGAATCTACAATTACCTCAAAACAAAAAGCAAGGGCCAAAGCTACATCCTGTAAGCTTCTAAATTCCCCCAAATATTGAGTGCTTGTCTAGTAGAAGAGTTCATGGAAACAGAGAAGTGAGTTGCCTCTAAAAAAGGCTCAAGAGGCCTAGAGAGATGATTCGGCAGTTAAAGCATTTGCCATGCAAAGCAAGACCAAAGCTCAGATCCCCAGATCCCATATAAATGGCAGGAGACCTGGCAGCCTGGAACTCCGGTCTTAGGAGGCAGAAATGGAGTCCTCCGAGCAGGCTGGCTAATAAAGCAGAGGTGTGCATGCACACATGCACACAGAAAGGAGAGGGATGGGGAGGGTTCAAGTACTGGGGTCAAGACTGAGACTTACCTTTGTCAATTAGAGGTAGTGGTTAATTACAATTTTATTTTGTATGCATGTACGGGATGGGGGCACATGTGGAGGTCACAGTACAAGTTGCAAGAGTTGGTTCTCCCCTATCACATGTGTCCTAGGGCTCAAACTCAGGTTGTTAGTCTTGATGGCAAGCATCTTTACCACCTGGGTCCTCTGGAAAGCAGCCAGTGCTCTTCCACCACCGAGTCTTTTTCCAGTCCCCATCACCCCACCTAACCCCCCATGCTTGTGTGGCAAGCACTTGACCAACTAAGCCATTTCCCTGGCCTCTGGTCTTGACCGCTCCACCTTAAGAGCATGCTCACTGGAAGAAACTGGCAATCTATCTTCTCCATGCTGTCTGCTCAGCACAATCCCTCAAGATCTTAATGAATCAAAACCTTGATTTGTACTATTATTAGAACTTTAGATTCAAAATTCCTAGTTGATCATTTGTCATTTGCAAAGAAATGTAACATCATGCTGATTAATAATCTGACAAGGGATATAAGAAAAATGTTAACCTTCTCTTGCTTATATTAAAAATTCTATTATAATAATTAGCTAGGGTTTTCTTTTCAGGGTTCTCTTTGATCCTACACAAAGTTGGGTAATTTAACTAGGCTGGAGCAAGGGTTAGTAAATGTTTTCTCAAAGGGACACACAGTAAATACTTAGGCTTTCTGAACCAAGAAACAAACCAGGTTTCTGCTGCATCCACTCAACTGTGCCATTTTCTCTCTGTATTCTACCTACCTAGAGTACCCATTAGTCAGGGTTCAGAAGAAGAATTATGTGTCTGATCTGAAAAGCCCACTTCTTTGATTTATGACTGGAAACAGAACACAATCGGAACTGGAGTCCAGGCTGTTGTCTGCACTGCTGTGTGACGGCTATACTGTCCTCGCCCTTCCTAGTTTGTGTGGCAAAACAAAGGGGAAAACTGGAGTCTTTAAGCATTCCATGTCATGTTCCAGGCATGAAAGCTACTGAGTTGGGGCTGGAGAGAGGACTCAGCAGTTCAGAGCACTGGCTGCTCTTCCAGAGGTCTTGAGTCCAATTGCCAGCAACCACATGGTGGCTCACAACCATCTATAATAGGATCTGATGCCCTCTTCTGGCATGCAGGTATATAAGCAGGCAGAAAACTATATACATAATAAATAAATCTTAAAAAAAAAAAGTTATTGAGTCACCTGTCATCACAGTTTTCCACACTCAGGACAACAATCTGCACCACAATTTGAATACCAAAACCTCAGAACATTTACAGGCACTCTTAAAGAAAATACATTGAGGGAAATCTATTATTTTGCTTGGACCAAACTTTTTTCGTTTTCCAACACCAGGTTTTAAATCTGTGAAAGCTCAGAATTCCTGACTTAGCCTTGCTAATCTAAAAAAATCAAAATACAAAAACAAAAACAAAATCATGCCTTTACCAGTTACTGCTCAAGTCAGGACACAGCTATCGAGACACCCTCCCCTCCATCAGTCCTCACACACACTGTGCACTTCCCGAGTCACCATCACTACAATCCCAACGCCTTCTCTGCACTCAAATATGTACAGCTTTGTCATCACAGTTACCAAGAACGCACAGGCCAGAACTCTACTTGAGAAGACTGCTCTATTTCATTGGTTTTAGCTAAATGAATGGGTTTGCATACATAATCAAAATATGAAATACATGCCTGCTGATCACCAGATTACTGCTATGCTAAGCCGCAAAGTAAATGCTCAGGATGGCAGAGACCATAGCAAATATGGAGCTAGGCTTTTTAATGAATCATTTCATTGCTGTTTGAATACCAGCAAAATAAACAATCCCCCTTTGCCATTGTAAAGGCACTTTCCAGTAAATACAATAGCTTCTACTCAAATATGCAAAGATCAGGAAAGCCAAACAACTTACATTTAAAGTAGCAATTATGTTGCCTTTAATAGAACAATTAAAAGGTGTCTTAAGCCCAGCAGGGGTGGCCCATGCATTTAGTCCCAGCACTCGGGAGGTAGAGCCAAGCGGATCTCTGTGAGTTCGAGGCCAGCCTGGTCTACAGAGTGAGGTCCAGGACAGGCTCTAAAGCTATACAGGAGAAACTCTGTCTCGAAAAACAAACAAAGAAACAAAATAGGTGTCTTAAAAGATATTTGAAGCTAGAAATCTATTTCAAAACCTAAAGGCTTTTTAAAAATGCTCAAGGAGGCAGAGCCAGGCAAATCTCTATGAGTTCAAGCCAGCCTGGTGCTACAGAGTGAGATCCAGGACAGGCAAAAAAACTACACAGAGAAACCCTGTCTCGAGAAAACAAACAAACAAACTAGATCTGACAGAAAAGCTTTCCAAATAGCTGGCTATTCTCAATTAGACTACAAAATGTTAACCCAACAGAACTTGTAACATATACTGTATAAACCCAAGAACCTCGGGATCTGGACAGCCATGCGGCATGCCAAGTGCTTATCCTTCTAACTTAATGTTATCCTTCTAACTTAATAGTTTTCCTATGGGGCTAAGAGATGAGGGCGTATGGTTGATGGAAGGCATTTAAGTGATGAAGCAATTACCAGACAATTTCACCAACTTGACTACAAAGACTGTTTTCACTGGCAGTGTAGGGAAAAGCAGGCTCCCTTAGCTACCAACAATGGCATGGCATCCTTCTGTATGTGCCAAGTGACGTCAAGGGCTTCCTTAGTTCCGTAGTAAGTCTACAACAACTAAGTCCACAAATACAGAAAAGGCTAGAGCCTCAATTCTCCCTGGGAGACCTTTTCTATAGAGCAACAAACCTGTGCCTTTTAGAAGGGACTAGTATTAAAGGTCTTGATATATAGATATGTATATGTGTATGTGTCTGTATACAGACAGGCACTCACCTGGCATACATGGGATTTCCAGTACAGCAAAGTAAATAAATTTAAAAAGTAAAAACAAAACAAAAAAAAAACAAAACTCAAGAACAGAAAAACAAGGAATAGGAAGTGAAACAGTATATGAAAAGAATGAAGCAGAAGCTTTCCTTTTCCAAACTGAAATATAGCAGTATTTTAAAAACATCGGTGGAGCCAGGCGGCGGTGGCGCACGCCTTTAATCCCAGCACTCGGGAGGCAGAGGCAGGCGGATCTCTGTGAGTTTGAGGCCAGCCTGGGCTACAGAGTGAGTTCCAGGAAAGGCGCAAAGCTACACAGAGAAACCCGGTCTCAAAAAACAAACAAACAAACAAAACATCGGTGTTCTATCAAAAAGATCCTCCAGGAACATCCCGTGACATGTTTGTTTTCTGAATGGTACCCTCATTAATCAATACAGGAAAAGAAGGCAAGGAGACTCCTCAACATAATCCTTCCTCATAAAGATCACTGATTTCTTTAAACCATTCTGGGTCTAGGTGCAGAGACCAGATTTTGGAAACTGGTGGCTGGTATGGGAATCACTTCTAAGCTACCCATAGCCACGAAGACTCGCTCTGCTCAGTAACTACACCATTAGGGCTGATGACATGGAGGACAAACCACCTCCGCTAACAGCTCCTTGGCTAGCCCTGCTCACCTGGATGGCTGCAAAGGCCAGTGCTGCCCAGATAACATGCATCAGGATCTCTTGTAGCTTCTTCACAACCAGAGCCTCACATCCCTGTAACACACAGCCTCGTTAGACCTGCTTCTCAAGAGAAAGCTGCAGACACAAATGACTACTCACTGGCAGCAATGGAAATGAAAATGAATAATGATCAGCGCAACTGTAATGCACAATTCAAACAAAATACAATGCATTAAAATATTTATAGTGAAACAAAATGCCATTGAAGTCAAGTGCATAGACTGAAAAGAAGCTCCAGGCAGTGCCTGCAGTGGACACAGTCCAAACTCACCTCGGCGTAGAGGTCGGAGGGGTTGGCCAGGCTGCCGTTACAGCTCTTGGCAGTCTCTCTGCAGCAGCTGAGAGGAACACTCTGGTTTTTGGTTTCTTTGAACCAATCTGTATTTTCCCAGTCTGAATAGTTATGAATTCCACAACAGTGCAGCTGGATAAGAGAGAGATTTTCCTTAGGTAAGGCAGCCGTTTGTGTTGAGCTCTGTGCACTATTTAACAAGCTACTCCAGATCAGTGATCTCAGCAGAGCTTTCTACAGTGAACACCACACTACATCTTTCCAGTCCAATGTGGAGGCACCAGCCACAGGAGGATGAACTGAGCACTTAAAATATGGTTAGTGTGACTGAAGAACTGCATTTTCAATCTCAATTTAAATATGGCTGAGTTTTAATTGTGTGTGTGTGTGTGTGTGTGTGTGTGTGTGTGTGTGTGTGTGTGTGTGTATGGGCATGCAAGTACAGGTAACTATGGAAGCCAGGTGTCAGATGCCCCAAAACTGGAGTTACAGGTGGTTGGAAGCTGTTCCCATGGGTGTAGGGAACCAAACTCTGGTTCTCTGCAAAATAGGACATGTTCCTAACCACTGAACCATCTCTCAGTCTGCAAATACTCATACCTCACATGTTAAAATATACAGCTCTGAGTTAAATATCATTTCCAATGGCAAAATGATTACATTTTATTTGCAGTGTCTGTGACTTAATTTAAGACAATAAAGCAAAAACATGTATATATAATAGCTGAAACAAGACTGGCAAAAAGCATTCAACTTGGAGGCTGGGTTGCAGGAACACGCTCTCTTACAGCTGTGGAGGGTCACACAGCCCACACACAGAAAGAGAAGAGCTAGTTCCTGTGGACTCAGGCGTGACAACTTTCCAGGAAGCTCACCTGTCTCTGTACATAGTCGATAGCACGGCTGGCAGCATCGGAGTTGGTCCCATTGTAGGTCTTATACACTTTCTGAATGCTTCGATCAACCTCATTCTCCACCTGAATCAAAAGGAAAGACTCCATACCTCAAAAATACTGCTCAAAGTAGCATCAAAGTTACAGCTAAAATTCCTAAGTAACATGTTTTCAAGTTGCCAGAGTACTCTGTACATTGACAGAAAGAAAAAGAGACTTCTTGCTCCAGTTAGATTCAAATTAGCAGCAAACAGTTCTGATCTATTAAGTTACACAGGTTAATAGCCTTCAAAGACTATGCAAAAGAGGCTGGCAAAACAAGCCACTCAAAAGGGACAAAACAACTGTGCACTAGGGAGATGCCCCACATGTGGATATCAAATGTCTATAAAAATAATAAAATTTGTACTCAGCTATATCGAGAACAGAAGTTTTATAAATAAATGCTAATTAACCTTAGGAATTTTAAAGCAGTGGCTTCGCTGAAATAAGCTAAAGAAAATGCAGACTCTGGTCAAACGAAGCTGTTTACTTCACCTGAAAAGCTTAAGCCACCTTTCAAAGCTCTGTGTGAGTCACAGTGGACAACATACCTTTGCTCTGTACACGTATCCCAAAACCACAACAACAACTTCTGTGACAAAAACCAAGAGCAGGATGAAGACAAACTGTAAGGAAACATCATCAGAAATTAAGTAGAGATTTAAAAAATAGTTGTAAATGTTTTCTTGATTAAAAAGCATATGGGACAACCTCTAGAAGTTTAAGGTACGTGTTCATTCTGATGCAGTTTTAAGAGCTAAGGCATCTACATCTGCAGAACTTCACCCTCAGTCAAGACAGAGGACCACATGAAGCAGTCCCCACAGTCTGACATGTGCTAAATGAAGTGTTAACTCACCGTGGCGAGTCCACAGCGACTCTCCCGGATAGTGGCACAGCAGCCGATGAGGCCAATGATGAAGAGCAGGGCTCCTACAGCTATGATCACCACAGCAGGGAAGAGCGTGTACACATCCTCAAAGAAGTGGTCATAGTCGTCGTAAGTGATGAAGACATAGGCCCCCACGTAGCAGAGAATGCCCGCTGCCCCCTGTGGAAGCAGGTGGAAACACCAGTCTGAGCGTCGTCCCTGCGACTCCCACTCTCGCTTGGGTTATAGTTTTTTCTTAGGTTGTGTCTTGTGTATCTCAGCTGACCTTGAGTCCTCTAGGTAGTCAAGGTCGACTTTGAATTTCTGCTCTTCCTGCCTCCACGTTCAAACATGGGCACCATCACCTCAGTGTAGGTGGTGCTGCAGACCTACGCCAGGGCTTTGCTCATGGTATACCCTCTACCAGCCAAGGTGTCTTCCACCCAAGAGGCTATAACTAAATGAGATTTCCCATCACTCTTAAATCAGTAAAGCTAAAACATCCCTGATTCATTATTAAAAACGCTTTTGTTGGTGGTTTTTGAGACAGGGTTTCTCTGTGTTGCTCTAGCTTTCCTGGAACTCACTCTAGAGACCAAGCTAGCCTCGGAACTCAGACCCACCTGCTGGGATTAAAGGCATGAGCTACCACCCCTGGCAAAATTCTTTACTAAATAAAATTGCAAATTTTCTAAACCTCACCTATTTTTCAGTAGAAAAAAACATAACGAATAAATAACAATAACAAGAATTCACTTTAGCTGTATTCTACAAGTAGAGAAATGATACAAGGAACAGAGTTAGGACTTGAGTCTAGGCAAAGTAACTCCAAATATATATATCTGTTTAGCCTTCTTAGAAAAATATTAGTACACCTGAAACCCAAAATATGCTGTCCTAGAGACAGATGGTGAGGCAAAGAGCCCAGGCTCGGGCACACTGCAAACCTGTCTCCATCTACCTGTTCTTTAGAAACATGCTCCTCAAACTCCTGTGTGAGTAAAAGCACCCAAGGAACTCATTAAACTGCACGTTCTGACTCAGAAGTCTCAAGTGGGTTTGAACTGCTACATTTCTATCAGGTTCCCACCAACGCTGAGGCTGTGGTTTGGGGCTGCACTTGGAGTCCCAGGTGCTGGAACACTTAGGGGAAGGTGAAGACAGGAAGCCTATTTCAGCCCGGGCTCCTTCTCCAAGGGCAGGCACTTCTGTACACTCTCCATCACCTGTGGTTTGGTTACACGCCCAGCTCTGTGCTTACTGCTACCTGCACAGGACAACCAGGCACCCAGAACAACCAGGCACCCAGAACAACCAGGCACCCACTGCCAAGCTCTGCTAAACTGCTCTAAGGAGCAGAAGTTGCAGAGCTGTCACACGAGTGTGATGACCTCGCCTTTGAAAGATTAAACATACAAATCTTCAAACCAGCAAACGGCTTCCAAAGTTAACATTAGAGATTACCACTCAATCCTCTGAAGTCTATTAGGTTTAGTATGTCTGGACGCCACAGGTCTATCTTCTTATATGGTGTAATACATGATTACAATCACTGTCAGATCTGGAAAAAGAAGGCTCCAGTAACCTGATTATGTCACACACACACACACACACACACACACACACACACACACACACACACGACGGGATATTTGTTTAAAAGGGAAGAAACTGCAGGCAGTACTCTGGGTATTGCCTAGCCCACCACCCTATAGTTTGTACTCACCAAACTATTTTTCATAACTGAATGAACAGACCAATTAAGAATAATAAATGTGACTATGGAGGGTTTTTTAGATCATCTCTCCTCCACTGCTAGTTCTCTTCTCTTTCCCCTCCTATTCTCCTCACTCTCATCATCGAGTCTTCAGCTCCAGGTGCCCTCACACTTCCACATCTCTGCCTGAAGTCCGGCTGACTCCCACGCCACCTGTTTACTGCACCCTGACGTCACCTCACTGCAGCATGTGTCTTAACCTGGCTACCCTGAATCTTGATCCCTGACTCTGTCCCTTAATATGTTCTTCATGAGAGTTACTGTTAAAAGTATGAACGGGGCAAGGCCTAACTTACGCAAATGTTCATGACAAGCTGTTTTGCCTCTGGCTTTACTCTCTGAACACTCCATCACCCTTCATAGATTACGAAAATATAAAACTGATACACACACCCCACTTTACACCTCTACAGCTGTCTTACTAACTCTGATGCAGCTTAAGGATCGCCACTTCCTCGTGGAAGCCATTCTTAACTAGTCACTCATCCAGTCAAACAGGGCATCTTTAATAATGGCTCAGTTGAACCGTATTTCTTACTATACCTCCTGGGTACAGAGTGTGCCTGTTTCTTTCAGCCCTGCACCACCACATGTATCAATTCAAAGAGTGCCCAGCACAAGCAAGTATTATCCAAGTTTACAGAGTGAACCTCACCACACCCTCCACCTCTACGGCAAGGACAGTGACTTCAGCTGGCTTGTGTGTGTCTGCTCATCAGTCCAGACAGTGCTCAGTTTTCAGTTCACTACTCAAACACCATTTGGTAACTAATCCGCTTCCTGGATTCTGATGGCCACCACCTCCAGAACAGGGTGTAAGTCATAGTCAGTAAGCTACCATTAAAACAATACTACACTGAGAGCTACAAGGCTCGTTGAAATTCACTTGCATATCTGCTTTGGGGGTATATCACTATGGGATGAGAAAAAAAATGAGGGGCCAGGCGGTGGTGGCGCACGCTTGTAGTCCCAGCACTCAGGAGGTAGGTGGATCTCTGTGAGTTCGAGGCCAGCCTGGTCTACAGAGCTAGTCCAGGATAGGCTCCAAAGCTACAGAGAAACCCTGTCTCAAAAAACAAAAACAAAAAAAAAAAAAAAAAAGAGGCTTAACAGTTTGGAAGTATGTGGACTCTGTAACAATGTCTCATTAAAACACTTCCAACTACACGTATGTGCTATATAGTCACAAACATACATAAGAAATAATACATAATACATTTTACTAAAGCAAATAATTCAGTCTTCAAACACGAATTAATCAAATTGTGCCCATAGCTTTCATTAAACAAACTTTATACAAGAACTGTTCCTATAGAGTTATTTCTTAAAAGGCTTGTGGGGAGAGGGTGCAGGTGTAGTGGCCATGCTTTTAAGCCCAGCACCCAGGAGGCAGAGCCAGGCAGATTTCTATGAGTTCAAGGACTGCCTGATCTACACAAGAGTTTAAAGCAAGTCAGGACTACAGTGGGTCCCTGCATCAAAAAGAAGGGGTGTGGGTTGAGTGGAAATTGTGGCAAACGGATTAGGGAGGTGGCTGGAGAGAAGGCTGTACATACTACTTTCCAAAGGACCTGAATTCAGTTCCTGTCACCCCCTCTCCAAAGGTTCCAACATCTTCTGGATTCTGCAGGCCTGTGCACTGGTGCACATATATACTCGTCCTGCTCTGCTCCCCCAATTAAAAAAAAAATGTTTTAAAATGAATTCAGCCCTAGAGAGATGCTCAGTGGTTAAGAGCATGCACTGCACTTCCAGGGGACGACGTAAGTTTGGTTCCCAGGATCTATACTGGGCAGCTCAAAACTTCCCATAACGCCTGTTCCTGTCCTGGGTCATCCAGTACCCTCTTCTGGTCTCTACAGACGACCACATTCACATGCCTGTGTACACACGACACAATTAAAAATAAATCCCTGGGCTGGAGAGATGACTCAGCAGTTAAGAGCACTGACTGCTCTTCGAGAGGACCCAGGTTCAATTCCCAGTACCCACATGGCAGCTCACAACTGTCTGTAACTCCAGTTCCAGGAGACCCAACACCCTGACACACACACAAAGGCAGGAGAAACACCAATGCACATAAAATAAAAATGAACCTTAATAAATAAAATTTAAAAATTAAATCTTTTTTTTTAACTTTCTATTTAAGTATAGTGCACTAACCAATTGTGTCATCAGACCCAGCTAGTAAATGAAATTTTAGCCGAGATAAATCTGAATAAAAATGTAACAAGAGGATAATACACACTCAAAATATACAGCACAGGGCACTAAGAAACCAGTTGCGTTTTAGAAATAAAGTGAGTCTTCAGCCTAAAGCGATTTCTATGAGACTCACACTTAGCATGGCTGAGAATGGCCAAGTGCAATGTCTCTTGGGCTGTCCCTCTGAGCAGAGTGAGGCAGGCATTCATCTGGAACTAGCACAAGAATGTAGGAAAACAAACCCAACTAGATGCAGCACACCCAATGGAAGGCAAAGCAGTCAAGCCCACTGTAAGTGCTTAGCGTCTGAAAGGTGACAGACATGCGGAGAGGGACTCTATCAGTCTCCATTCTTCACCATCAGTAGGAACTAATGCAACAGACACTGTCTGCACTGCCGGAGGACAGTGTAAAACGAGTGCTCATCTCTTCTCAACACTGTCTGAAGACAGAGCAGGTTCATTTCAAACAGAGAAACCTAATCACTTCTAAGAATCTGCCTTAATGACACCCAACCATCAGAATAAGAAACAAAAATAAAAGAAAACCAAACAAGATAAATAGTAATTTGCATGGGCAGTTGCAGGGAGGAGCATAAGTAGTTCCTACTAGTGATGGAACTTTGTAGTCACTCTGATTTCTAATGCAGACAGGATATTATTAGAAAAGCTACATACATGTAACAGGTGAGCTTTGTGAAATCCTGTTTGTGGGGAGGTGATGGGATTGGATCAGGACTTTACCAATAAAGCAGCTGCAGAGGAGGGAGGGAGAGAGGAGGGAGGGAGAGAGGAGGGTGCAGCTGCAGAGGAGGGAGGGAGAGAGGAGGGGGCAGCAGCAGGGAGGAGGGGGGAGAGTGCAGCAGCAGAGAGGAGGGAGGAGGGTGCAGCAGCAGAGAGGAGGGAGGAGGGTGCAGCAGCAGGGAGGAGAGGGGAGGGTGGAGCTGGAAGCTGCTGATGGGTCACCACTGAGAGAATCTGGGCCTAGGAGGAGGATTTGTGCCAGGACAGTGCACTAAAAATCACTATCCTTTTCACAAAGAAAAGGGAAATTTAGGGGAAAGGCTGAGGTTTTTGGGGGGCGGGGGAATCATTCCTTTACTTTGTCCATGTTTTAAATTAAGTCACGGAAGTTTAAAACTTTAGGTGTTTTTCTGTTAACTGAACTGTTCCTCTATAAACTGAGCTATTACAAGTTT